CAAATCCGCGTCCGTTTGCGTCGGCCTGTTGAAATCGACCAAATTACATAGATACTTAGCCTCTAAGGATGAGTACACTAGATTTTCTAAAAAAAAGAGTATACTAGAAGAAAACGCTGCTGAGATAAGACAATGGATAGAGTACAAAATACAAAAAACATTAACTGTACTCCACTAATCCAAAATACGCTGGCCATTGCGTGTTTGCATGCATACAGCTAATGCAAAGTTAATGCCATGGAAAACACTGAAGTAGTAGGTAAACCGAACCAGAACCTTCCAGTACATTCACACCAAACGGCTAGTAGTAGTACTCCTATGTTGCAAGGCAGTGCCAAGTGTCAGCTGAAATCTGACACCAGTACTGCTGCAGGACCAAAACAATCCAAGAGCAGAGAAAAATATTTAGTCTTTAATTACCAGGATACTTAGCCTCTAAGGATGATACTCCCACCAGAAGAAGACACTGCTAGCAGCTAGGATTAGACAACGGATGATGTGCAAAATACAAAATACACTAACTGCACTCCACCAATACAACAACTCATACTGTATGCTGCTGGCATTTTTGGCCATTGCATACATTTGCATGCGTCCAGCCAATGCTGATCAAGACTTTTCACTGGCAGCAACCGGCTGGCTGCTGCTGTGAATCGAGCCAAAATCCTGCTAATCGAACCAAAATCTTCCGGTAGTACATTCACGCCAAACGGCTAGTGCTAGTGCTGCACTGGCAGCGATCGATCGAGCGAGCGTATCCTGTAATTACTTTTTACCATTTAGTCCAGGCCGCTGGAGATATGCTCCAAAGATTTTCAAGATTTTACAGCGCGTGATGAGTGGAGATATGCTCCTGGTTTGCTCTGCTCCCGGCTCTATATAACGGGGCCATGGGGCAGCGCTCTCTCCTCACTCCCACAGCTCCCACCGTTCTCCAGTCGATCACGCACGCTCTCCTCGCCGCCGAGATGTTCGGGTTCGGGCACCACCACAAGGACCAGGCGCCGCCGGCGTCGGGCCCCAACCAGATCTTCAAGATCTACTGCCGCGCCTCCGAGGACTACTGCCTAGCCGTCCGCGACGGCGAGGTGGTGCTCGCCCCCGTCAACCCCAAGGACGAGACCCAGCACTGGCTCAAGGACATGCGCTTCAGCACCACCGTCAAGGACGAGGAGGGCATGCCGGCCTTCGCGCTCGTCAACAAGGCCACCGGCCTCGCCGTCAAGCACTCCATCGGCCAGTCCCACCCCGTAAGTCGTCCGTCCATCTCCTCCTTCGGTTCGGTTGGTTGGTTGGATTGATCTTTGACATATGCGTCCATGGGGGACGGTGGCGTTGCAGGTGAAGCTGGTGCCGTTCAACCCGGCGTACGAGGACGCGTCGGTGCTGTGGACGGAGAGCAAGGACATGGGCAAGGGCTTCCGCTGCATCCGCATGGTCAACAACACCCGCCTCGGCTTCGACGCCCTCAACGGCGACAAGGACCACGGCGGCGTGCACGACGGCACCACCGTCGTGCTCTGGGAGTGGTGCAAGGGGGACAACCAGTGCTGGAAGATCTGGCCCTGGGCCGAGGCGCACGCCGCCGTCGAGTCCGGCGCCACCATGGGCAACAACGCCCACGCCATGGGCGGCGGGCCCCCCGTGCACGCCGTGCGCGTCTTCTGCAAGGCCGGGGAGGACTACAGCCTCACCGCCCGCAACGGCACCGTCTGCCTCGCCCCCACCAACCCCAGGGACGACTACCAGGTCAGTTCTGCTGCCGCTACTTGACCAAATTAAACAGAGTCCTTTCTTTTTACCTGTCGTGCCGTGTGGCGATCTGTAAATGAAACTGAAATTACCGGATCTTTGTGCAGCACTGGATCAAGGACATGAGGCACAGCAACAAGATCAGGGACGAGGAAGGGTACCCTGCGTTCGCACTGGTGAACATGGTCACCGGCGAATGCATCAAGCACTCCACCGGCCAGGGCCACCCCGTAAGCACCCACACACATAAAGATTGTGCATGATTTGAGCAGAGAAGCATCTGGCGGCAGTTCTTACTGAAGATCTGTAATTGATGGTGCGTGCATGTGCAGGTGAAGCTGGTGCCGTACAACCCGGCGTACCAGGACGAGTCGGTGCTGTGGACGGAGAGCCGAGACGTGGGCAAGGGCTTCCGCTGCGTGCGCATGGTGAACAACATCTACCTCAACTTCGACGCCTTCCACGGCGACAAGGCCCACGGCGGCGTCCACGACGGCACCGAGATCGTGCTCTGGAAGTGGTGCGAGGGCGACAACCAGCGCTGGAAGATCCTCCCCTGGTGTAAGTACTATAGTCGTACTGCTCTGCAGTTCAACCTGATACATCTTGCTTGCATCTGTGTTCTGACCAGTGAATTGTTGCTTCGTGCAGAGATGAGCTGCCGCATTGCCATCGACACATCGCCATGGATTAGTCCGGGGACAAGCCCCCCAAGTCGTCCTAGTCGCCGTCCGTCCGTCCGTCCGTCCGTCGTCGTCGTAGTCCTCTGCCGCTGGTAGCGAATAATGTTGCTGTGTCCAAATAAAACCGTGTGCGATGTGTGGCAATGGTGTCTGTGTGCGTGTGTCGCCTTGTGATTGAATGATTGAGCCGGCGTTTCTGCGAGGAAGAAGAGAGTGTTGGAGAGAGTGAGGAGAGGGACCATGATTCCGAAGTCTGAACTTTGATGTAACTCGTCTGTGTTTTCTTGGTACTGGGCCCTGTACTGTGCTACTCTGTGACCTGCATTGTCTCCGTTTTTCTGCGATCTAATCAATGGGCTCACCTATCTTCCACCCTCCTCGTACTACGTTTGTTGTACCCGTTGGGGCCTTGCTTGTTCATCAGCTTCTGCCATGCCCAATTTCTCAGATCAAACAGGCTTGATTTTGCGAGGGGAAATGTGTACTCTCCTTAGAAATACTGTATCTAAATTCCATACTTGAAAATCATACTGTAAGCTCAAGTTGTGCCTCTAACATGGAGTTGAAATGTGAGAACTAGTCCGTTAAATTTTCCCTTTAGGCCTTGGTTAAGCCACTCCCCAAGTG